TTATCAAAGTTGATAATTGCTGAGATTATGCTGCAATGATACCGGCAACAAAATAACACGTACACCACAGGTAGTTTAACAGCTTTTTTTCAAATTTCAGAGTCCTAACAAATGAGCATTCAGAATGTACACTGCTATCTTTCTCTTTATTTCATTGCAGCCAGAGTGAAATTCTTGCCAACAATACACATAATTCCACTAAATGAAAATTAGTGACAATCTGCAATGATTACAATATCTTTAAATTGAAAATGGATTCTACAGTCACTCGCGTGAAAATTCCAAGAGAAAAAAATGTACGTTTTCGTAAGTTATCTATCGTCTCCTATATTACTTCAGTAGTTTACACACCTTTTGGGGCTCTCACACGCAACTGATCTTTATAAGTGAGTTCTCTAAAGAAAGAGAATTTCACGGAGGCGTGACGAATAGCAGTTTACAAATATAAGGATTTGTATAAAAAACGTAGCTAAATATTAAAGTGAAATGCAACCCGCAGCACTCAATCAGCTAAATAGTTAAATCATTTCTAAACAAAGCATTTTAAGGGCTTAAAAAATAAAATTTTAAGACCAAAGGCCTCAAAGAAACGTACCTCACATTGTAATACATAGGATGAGGTATTCTTGGGCACTCTATTGAATTTTTGCTGATTCGGTACTTATCGAATACTAATAATGCCAAATATATTGAAACCCTTGGTGATGGTGGCCATCTTTGTGACGTCACGTTTAGAGGGCTTCCTCTAATTTATTCTATTTATGCTGTCTGTGTACACTGCGGTTTACCCAGGATGACGAGGTTTATTTGCATAACTATGAATTCAAGATTCGCTCTCGCAGCAACAATTAGGTGTATAATTAATAATTCCGTGATACCGATGAATATTGTTTCTTGTGCGTGTGGTGCAACTATTCATTTAACGTTTCGCCATGGTCTACAAGTGCTTGGTAGGTAATTGTGGAGGGAACTACGATGGAAACGGATCACATGTTCTCAAGTTTCAGTTTCACGATACCCTTAGAAAAAGTAGTATTTCTGCCTTCATCGGCAGGATTCCTACGCAACTAACGAATGTAAGTATTGACATTCTTGTTTCTGTGACACATTTCAAACATTACCTATATTACACATGCACTTGGTATGAAGTATACTTGGTATACTCAAAAAAACTCGCACGTTTTCTTAAGCCTCGAAATTTCTACTCCCACACCTTTGCCATCATTGGTTGAGTGAAGAATAAATTATAGAAAAGAGCGTTGTAAACCAATTCTAATGACCAGAAATGTTCGCTCCCGTCTAATGAAACTATTTTGCATCGAAAAACGAACGACAAATACGACAAAATTATTTTTGTCAAATTAACTTAACACTCTTCTCGCAATTAGCGAAACGAGCGCGGATAATACCACACCATACGTATCTACTACATACTGAACGTACATTTTATTATTATTATTATTATTATTATTATTATTATTATTATTATTATTATTATTATTATTATTCCAAATCTATTTGTCTGATTTTATCGCTTACTACTAAAATTTCTCTGCTAATTTAAGTCAATACACGTTTATGGAAAACACAATACAAGAAGGGAAACCATTTTTATGAAAACATGAATTAAAAATGAAATTTAACAACTTAAAAAAATGGCGTCAAATGGTATTTATAAGGTGAATATATTAGTTTTATTTTTTGGCTCAGAATTGCTTTTCTTGAGGCATGCGAGAGTTCTCGCACGGGTACGATAGTGTATTTTAATCTACGTGTTTGTATATGTCTCCTAATCTATGCAAATGTCTCCCAGAAGAGGGCATTCGAAATTGAATACTTGGTGTAATCTTGCGAATGCCCTGATAAGATTGTGCGTTCTTCAGTTATCTCATCTGATGGAAAAACACACCAAGATAAGCAACATCCTGTCTCCAGTAATGCCGATAAAATCGAGTAATCGCTATTACCGTTTTTAAAATCACGTTTTATAACCAACCGTACATACAATAGCCCTCCAAGACGCATTTCCCGTAATGGGCCACGTCACAGTCAAGGTCGTTAAGAGTGCATTATCAGTCAACCAAAAATCATATATGAGAGACATAAAATGACGATAGACTGATGGAAAACGGTTCCACGATCTCTCAAAAAAATTTCCATTTTTATGAAAATTTGGAAAATGTCCGAGGGGCATCATGAAAAGTACCCCCAATATTAAAATATCTGTTTGAAATTCCAGAGTCCGGGACATCAGCTAGAACAATTTGGGAATATCAATTTTGGAGAAAATGGCTGAACAGTTTATGCGCTAACGTTGTGCACAAACGGACGATCTGCAGACAGACAGTCGTTTTGCCGTCATTTGATTTTTCGGTATCAAGGACCCACAAAACATAGAATCCTGCTGCACCACGTGTTAGAGGATTTTTTTCCAAATTTAGCAACTGGATTCATCCACTTTTTCCTTACTACTGCTAGGCAGTAAGTGTTTTTATGTCGAAAATTCGCCGTGTTCCGGCGCACAAAACTTTCTCTTCTTACGTTAGTAAGTGCCTAGAAAAAACGGTCTTCTTGCCTGCTGAAACATGAGATCCGACGCCCCACTAATAGCTCCATTTGGGATAAAGCGTGTATGGCAGTGGAGTGCTTTCAAGCGTGGGTAAGTAAGGGGAGAGGTTAGGACAAGGAAGAGAAAGGACTTTTCGCGTGAGGTCCGTAGTTGCTTGTTAAGAACCTGCTCTGTCATTCAGTTATATATGATCGTGTAAACCACTGAATCTCCCGATCAGAGCCTAGAATTCTCCAGACACCACGGAGAGGGAGGCAGGGGAGAAACTGACGGAGGGCGTCGCGGAGTTGATGACAAGCGAAGAGACAGCGGCGGTCGGAGCAGTTTCCGGGAAAGCGGCCGCGTCGCGTCGCGTCGCGAGCGTCGTCGCGAGCGCGGACGGATCGGTGTGTCAGGCAACGCCGGGCGCCGCCCCCGCGCATCCGCGTGCCAGGGCGTCGCGGCGCCTTCCGCCACGGGCGCCCACGCAACGCCCCTTCTCTCCCATTCCTTCCACCCCCTCCCCCCGACCGCGAGAGGGCGCAGCCGAATGAGATGCGCGTTGCACTTCCTTGCTCCGCTTCACCCCTTTCCGTCCCCGCCTCCCCTCCCCACGCACCCGCTACAC